CACTCTCCCCGTCTAGTAAGGCGCTCTACTCGCCAACGCAACACCCCCCAGCCCCGACGCCCCCTATTAAGGAAGAGAGGGGAAGGTGGGAGACAAACACTGCGTTAAATCATCCCTCTTGCTAAGGCTGCATCTGCACAAACATGTTAAGTCATCGTTTACAAACCACAGTTGTTGGGTGCACACAGCTTGCCATGCCAGAAACAAACAAAACACATTTGAGCTGAGCGTGATGAATTTATATCATCTTATGCTATTTGCTTTAACCTCTCCAGATGTTAAAAAAAAAAAAAAGTTGGCTTTGGGATGAGAGCTAATTTAAACCATTTCCCCATGGACTGACTCAGTTCACATATCATCATTCTTGGCTTTTAGCTTAGTGTGTCCTAGCCAGTTGTTGTTTATTCAGTAAACTAAAGAGGCATGAGAGCCAGTGTGGTGCAAGAGTTAAGATTTTGGACTGGCACTGGGGAGTTCTGGTCCATCCATAGTTACAGAAGTTCACTCTTTCTCTACCCAATCTACCTCACAGGGTGTTGTTGGAGGAAAAATGGAAGGAGGGAGTGTTAATGTATTACTTTAGAACAAACAGGTGGGATATAAATCTAACAAGCCAAAGTTTAGGGTGATGTTTCACAAGCAAGTATCTTATTCTCCCTTTCACTATCTGATCAGCTTATACAGTGGGGTTTTCTTTCTTTCTGGTTTCCCTCAGCCAAAAGCCAAAAAGATTATCTACTTGAGTCCCTTCTGGGTAGAAAGGAAAGAAATAGATGAAAATAATTAATTAACTTTTTTGGCATAAAGAAAATTGGTCAGGACCATTCTGGAATATGGTATAGTCATCCCTATTCTGAAAAGGTTTTGGTAACACTCTGCTTCTGCTTTTTTCCTTATTGGTTCTGGATCTTTCAGAACTTGATCTCCTGATTTGTCCATGCTAAGGTAGGAGAAGGCCAGGCTGCTGGCTACTCCCCCCCCCCCCCCGCCCTTCCTCCTGTAGATGAGCCAGGTGTCAACTGTAGATGTCCCTTTGGCTTTTAGGACCTAGGAAGTGAACGTTACTTGAAACTGGAAGGCTGTGCCACCATAAAGCATTTAATGCAGGGAAGATCCATTTGTTAGCTGTTCTGATCTGTTGTAGGAATTTTAAAGATCTGTTTAGATATGACCAGGGTCAAACCCAGTTCATCTCTTTGCCTAATCGCATCAAGCCCAAACTGACCCTCCCTGCCCTTAGACAAAGCCCCCCTGAAAGCCCATCTAAATCAATGAATAGAATTCTCCTCACCAGCTCACAGTACAGCCCAAGGGCAACCCTTACAAGGGAATTGCAACATAGAGAAACCCCAACCTTCCATCCTCTATCAGCTGATGACCTCAACATTTCATCTCCTTCACAATGAACTGTTTTAATTGTGAGCTGCCCAGAGTCATCCTCTGGGGGAGATGGGTGGCATATAAATTTAATAAATAAATAATGAATGAATGAACTTCCTCAGCTCTGCTGTCCTCTTGAAAGGCCCATTGTGCCTAACAATAGAACTCACCCCAGGTACACTGACAAGGACCTGCCCAGTTTTCCCAAACTGGCCAGCAAATCAGATCCCTAGGATTTCCCACCTTGTAGCCCTTGACTTCTATAAAAATCTTTGCTTTCCCATTGTTTTGGGTTCTTTCTTGTAAAGCAGGCACCCAAGGGTCCTTGCAATAAATGTGGTTCTTCCTCTCAGTGTTGTGCTCCTTCTTCAAACTGAATCCATGACAAAACTGAGTTCCAGAGAGAAGACAGCAACTGACTTAATCTCCACACTTTGTTCATGTCACCTTGTTTTAATTTTCTACACATTGCCAATAAATACCTCTACCTTTGTTTAGAAAAAGGGATTAAAATCTGGTTCACAAATTGTTCAAAGCCACAATGTGGTTTATTTGGTTTAGCATAATACAGTGGTACCTCGGTTCACGAACGCTTCTGTTCACGAACAATTCGGTTCACGAACAGCTCCGTTCGCAAAGTTTTGCCTCCGTTCGCGAACGCTGGATCGCGATCAGGTTACAAACAGGATCTGCGGCCATTTTCCCTCCCATGACACGTAGTCGCGGCTTCCGGTAGGGAGGGGGAGTCTCCCTCCAAGCAGTAACCGCCTCCCCACCCGCCTTCCTGTCCTCCACTCCAGAAGTTGCGTCGAGCAAGGTTAGTGTTCTCTCTCTTCATGCTGTATTTTGTTTAATATTTTTGCAGTTTTAAAAAAACAACAACATATGGTTCAGAACGGATTAACCGTAATTACATTAAACCTTATG